TTTATCAAATTGTCCATGTCTACAAAAAAAGATGCTAAGAGTTACCCGTTTCCATACTTTAAATTCCTCACTGGGCTGGGTATGGCAGTTCATGCCTGTAATCCCAGCATGTCAGGAAGCTGAGATGGGAGGATTGTTTGAGGCCAGGAATTTGAGACCAGCCTGAGCAACACAGTGAAATCCTGTCTCCACTTTTAAGTAATAATGAAAAAAAATTTTAAAAACCCAACCCTTTCACTGGTCTGACCCCCACCCCCTGCATAAGAGAAAGACCTCACCAAGACCTACAAAGCCCAGTGAGTCTGCCTCTACACCCTCCCCACTACCTCACCTCACCATAGAGTTTTTAATTAAGCTCCAACTATACTTTATTTCAGATCCTCCACTGATGGTTTCTCTCTCATCCCTGTCTAAACCAGATAGTGGTTACTGTTTTTTTTTTTTTGAGACAGTCTTGCTCTGTTGCCCAGGCTGGAGTGCAGTGGTGCAATCTTGGCTCACTACAACTCTGCCTCCAGGTTCAAGCGATTCTCGTGCCTCAACCTCCCAAATAGCTGGAATTATAGGCACGCACCACCATGCCTGGTTAATTTTTGTATTTTTAGTAGAGATGGGATTTCGCCATGTTGGCCAGGCTGGTCTCAAACTCCTGACCACAAGTGATCCACCTGTCTCAGCCTCACAAAGTGCTAGGATTATAGGCGTGAACCACCGCGCCCAGCCTGGTTACTTTTACCAAGCTCTTTACTTTTCCTCCACAGCACTTAACAGTTTGTAAAATGACATGTATGTTCATGTGCTTGTTTACTAGCAAGTAGGAACCGCAAAGCTCAGTGTGCTGCCCGGCAGAGAGAGAGCACTCAATATGTATTGGTTGAATGAATAAAGGCAGATGTATCTTTCTGAATATTTTATTAGGGCAAAACAAGATATTTGCATGGGATGCTTCTTAAGTCATCTCAAGTAGTTAGTTCCCCTTCAGTTCTTAACATGCACTCTCAAAATCAACACACCTACCCCAACCCAATACTCATCGCTTCAGTCATCCAATAAAGTACAAAATAAAAATAAAAAAAATCATCATCTGGCAAAAAAGGGAAAAGGGAGAGAGTGGCATTTTAACACATTACTAAAATGTTTAAGCTTTTATTTACACATCCCCTTCTCTCAGTTTCCCAGGTTATATGAACATTACAGCAATAGAAAGCGGTTATCATCACAGCACCCCCTTGCAAATTCCCGTTTACAGGTAACTTGGTCAGGGGAAAATATGGGCCAATGAAATAAGATCTCAGCTCTCCTATAAGCTACTGCTCTCTTCTCTTTCCCCCTTCTCTTAATGTTAGCGGGCTATTACAGAGAGGGATCATCAAGACTGTGTGGGCCTACTGGCTGAAGCGACAGGGTGGCTTCCAGTGTCCTGTGAAGAACCAGCAAGGATGCTTTTTATAACTCCAATCATCGACTTCACATCACTGAGATGACAAGACTTAAGGGTAAAGACACCACGCCACCCTAGTCAGTGACGTGTACTCCACTTTCCAGGAAGACCTGGGCCAAATGACAAGTTTTGCACAAGAAACCTGGGAATAGTGTTGGAAAAAGTCTCCTCGTGCATGGAAGCATTCACTCATCCATGCAGATGGCAACAAGGCAGGACACTCAGAAAGCGTAAGATCAAGGTACTGCTCTTATGTGCACCTTTCATTTAACTTCCCCTCAAGTGCTCCAAAAGAACAGAGCTTTGGGTATTGCTTCATTAAGAATACAGTAACTGCAGTTTAAAAGCCATTGCATTCTTTAGGGTCAGTTTATTATAACCTATCCTACCAGAAAGAATCACAGTTTAAGGCCATTTATCATGTGTACTATGTAGTAAACAAAACCTTGTCCACAGTTCCACCACCAAGCCACTCCCAAGGGTGGACTGTGAATGTGACACTTCCACACTCACCAGATATTAGAAAAAACATTTCTATTAGGGGCTGAAACTAGCCCCTTGGTTTCCTCCCTAGAAAAGAGCTGCTTGGAAAACAGATGTCACTGGAAATGACAAAAGGAACAACAGCATTTTCTATACAATTAAAAGCAAAGGGATCATTGGCTAGCGCTAGCATTTCTTCTGTGTGATAAGGGAAGCCAGCCCTCTAATTTGGCTCTCTGGCTGGGCACATGGCAATGGCTAGGGGCCTGGGCACACATTTTTTTTTTTTTTTTTTTTTTTTGAGACAGATTCTCCCTCTGTCACCAAGGCTGGAGTGCAGTGGCATGATCTTGGCTCATTGCATCCTCTGCCTCTTGGGTTCAAGAAATTCCTGTGCCTCAGCCTGCCGACATAGCTGGGATTACAGGCATGTGCCACCACGCCCGGCTAATTTTTGTAATTTTAGTAGAGATGAGGTCTCGCCATGTTGGCCAGACTGTTCTTGAACTCCTGGCCTCAAGCAATCTGCCCGCCTCAGCCTCCCAAAGTGTTGGGATTACAGGCATGAGCCACTGCGCCCAGCCACGGGCACATATTTCATGTGGATAAAGTCGAGGCAAGAAAAAGACATGCTTTTCTCCACGTAGAAGGTATTTTTTAAACTGGCTTAACGGATTAAGATGGCTGCTGGGCACTGAGCATCCACATGAAGCAAATAGCAGTGTATCTGTAGGTTCTGGGACTGAAAAAAAAAAATCCCTTTAAGTTCCCTTTAAGTTCTTTTTGGCTTAGTAGCCAAAAAATAATCTTTGCTTTTTATACCTCCCCCATTCACAACCCCTTTGGGCTAAGCTGATTTTAAAAACATTTTTTTTTTTTGAGATGGGGTCTTGCTATGTTGCCCAGGCTAGGCTCAAATTCCTGGGCTTAAGCAAGCCTCCTGCCTCAGCCTCTCGAGTAGCTGGGATTGCAGGCTGCATGTGCACCCAGCTCCTAACAATTCTTCTTCTTCTTTTTTCCCCCTCTTATTGAGCCAGGGTCTCACTCTGTCACCCAGGCTGGAATGCAGCGGTGCAATCATGGCTCACTGCAGCCTTGACTTTCCCAGGCTCAAGTGATTCTCCCACATAGGTGGGACTATAGGCAGGCACCACCGTGCCCGGTTAATTTAGAAAAAAATGTTTGTAGAGACAGGGTCTATCATGAAGATTCATAATCTTCATGAATGTGGACAGTTTGAAGGAAAACCACTACTCTCATCTCTTTTTCTAAGCACAAGTAGAGATTATAGCAAGTAGAGATTAAAACTCATTGGCTTACTGAGAACACCAAGAGAGGAAAGACACCTTGGGAATTAGGTCATAGCAATGCTTCAAACAAGACAACAACTGCCCATAACCCTACAAATTCTTGCAAAACAACAGTTACCCTTATTCAACAGTTACCCATATTCTTTCTCCATGGCCTACGGCATGACCGGCAGTTCTGCACTGTTACCCAATCCTGGATCACTAGGAACCGGAAATCCTTATCAATTTGGAAAAAGGGGAAAAACAGAAAAGTAGTGGTAAATGTCATCACTTTTTCCTCCCTGAGAAATCAGGAAATCTCTCCATGGAAGCCACTCATCCCCCTGGTTTTCACCAATAAGAAGGAAGCAAAGGGTATTACACACTAGAACTTTCAGCTAGGCTGAACTAGTTGAGGAATTTAGATGCAGGCTCCCTCAGGTAATGAAGAAATTTGAAAAAAAAAAAAAATTTTTTTTAAAGCCAAAGGAGCTAGCTTAAGCCCCTAATGAAAAGCCTCCTCCTGCTGGGCGCGGTGGCTCAAGCCTGTAATCCCAGCACTTTGGGAGGCCGAGACGGGCGGATCACAAGGTCAGGAGATCGAGACCATCCTGGCTAACCCGGTGAAACCCCGTCTCTACTAAAAAATACAAAAAACTAGCCGGGCGAGGTGGCGGGCGCCTGTAGTCCCAGCTACTCGGGAGGCTGAGGCAGGAGAATGGCGTGAACCCGGGAGGCGGAGCTTGCAGTGAGCTGAGATCCGGCCACTGCACTCCAGCCTGGGCGGCAGAGCGAGACTCTGTCTCAAAAAAAAAAAAAAAAAAAAAAAGAAAAGCCTCCTCCTGAAATGTAAGGCTAAGTGTACAAACAGAACCAAGGCGTCTGATATGCTATCTTCAAAGCCCAGCACCACCATATATTGGTTTTCTCTAGAGTTGGAATTTTAAAAATCAAGAACTTGAAGGTACAGAAAGAATGAAAGGCCAAGTAAAGGAGGAAGGCATTACGGAGACAAATCACTGGAAACATGTTCAACTCCTTGGTGTCTGAAGAGGCATGACACAAACATAGAGCCCTTAGTAGTTGTGTAGGATGCTTCTGTTCACCTTGACTACAGAAGCAAGAATCCTGTTTTAAAATCCTCGGCCTATCATGAATGTTTAAGATAGTGACTAAAGCACTATGATGGCTGGATTCTTCAAACAAATAAGCAGTACTTTGGGGGTTCTGGAGACTAGAAGCTGTTTTTTAAAGGTAAGGATGTCTTATCCAAAGCAAAGCAAAAAGTTGAAAAAGTGCTATAAAGTCCATTCCCCTGCTAAGTTAAAGCTTTTTAAAAAAAAGATGCAAGAAGAAACCGCCACTGCTGCTTGGCCCACTCTTCATGTGGGCTTTTGATGTCTCCTAGCTATACATTTCCTGGCTTCTGATGTGATCTGCTGAAAGAGGTCTTATAAACCTGAAATAGGTAACAGCAATGCTGAATTAAAAGAGGAATGAGAAAAAGTGCTAAGAACTAGTCACACCTCTATAATCGACTCAGATGATCGGTTTTGGTAGTTATGGTTAACAGACATCTGTTTGAATCCTACCAGAGTCTTGAATCAGGCCATGTTAAACTGTGTATGAAACTATTCTTGTATGCCCCAAATCTCGACTTATTCTCAATGACTGTATTTATATATACACTTGTATTCCTCCAAGTACTTGGATAAACGATGATACCTAGGATATGACTGGACCCTAGATTTATATTACAGTTTCAAGAAAAGACAACCAACCATGTATAATGTATACATAACATTTTGTTCTTTAGAAAGTACAGAGGTCCTGGATAGATCACAGGAGGTTTGGCTCTTCAAAATAAACTTGTAACAAAATCACACTTATCTTGAAGTAACTTTGTACCAACAAAGTTTTGCAGTGACTTCATGCAAGCCAAAATAAAAAGACCAGCAGGTAAGTTCATTGCTTATAAGTCTGTGACTTTTAAAAACCCTACATTTACATTATTAAATAGTAACTGCAGTGCAAAGGCTATCTGGTATTCCAGAGGGATTCTATGCTAGGAAATTAGATGTGCAGGAACGGTTGACAATGTATTTGATTTTATAGTACTCCTTATTTAGTTACCACGACCTCCTTCTTACTTTAACCTATACATGCTAAATATAGTCTCTGCATCTCTCCTTGGTTCTTTCATTCATCTTTTTCTGTTCTTTAAAAAAGTAAAATAAAACTTTGGAATATCTCAGGGGCTTATTAAAGCTCGCGGATGCTGACAGTGAATAAATTTATACTCAAGACATTAAAAACAAAACTTCACAAACAATAATATTGCTTACATCCTCTGCTACATGTAATGTACACAAACATACCACAGCTGATGACAAGACACCCAGGAGAATTTGGATTGATAATCTTTACCAATAAAAGGAGCAATTTCAAAAACTAAAATGTGTAACATGACTTTTACTTTGAGACACAGTTTCACTCTGTCACCCAGGCTAGAGTGCAGTGGCATGATCTCATCTCACTGCAATCTCCGCCTACTGGGTTCAAGCGATTCTCCTGCCTCAGCCTACCGAGTAGCTGGGATTACAGGCGCCTGCCACCATGCCTGGCTAATTTTTTTGTATTTTTAGTAGAGACGGGGTTTCACCATGTTGGCCAGGCTGGTCTCGATTCTCCTGACCTCAAGTGAGCCACCTGCCTCAGCCTCCCAAAGTGCTAGGATTACAGGCGTGAGCCACCGCACCCAGCCTGTATGTAACATGACTTTCATACACTGCTTTTCCATTCTGTTCCCAATCCTTCTCCTGTAACACTTGATGGATACAAAAGGACAAGCGGATCCTGGGTATAACCATGCCAAAAGTCCGCTTCACTTACACTTTGGTTCAACTAAAAAAGAACTTTAAAATGGTGATTTTCAGATTTGTTCTTTGGTCAGGCAGTATAAAGCTCTCTGAAAAAAGTCCCTTTACCTGGTTATAATATGAAAACAGTCAAAATAGAAAATGTCAGTTTAGGAAAGAGATCTATGTGTTCAGAATTTCTCAGAAAAAAAAGAAAAAAAATGTAGACAGGCAGACCCTAGCCCCAGATGCCAGATTCAATTGTCTTAGGACATCAAGAATAAAAGAGAACTAGCATTCAGAAGAGTAATATTTAAGTGGGTTAGCTTCCAAAAGGCCTAAATTAATAAATCTAATCCTTAAATAGGAACATGATAAATGATTTCTGAGCAGAGGATTTACCACCATTTTCCTTTATCAGTTTAAATCCTAATCTGGACCCAGACCCAGCCAGAGACTGTCATAATTTTCAAACGTAGAAATCAGTAGGAAATGCAAGCCACAGACTCTGCAAGGAGTAATCAATTCTTTCCACACTGCCCCTGCCCCTCACCCACCGGGAGTGCACATCACTCTACGGAGCGGCTTTGTACCCAACACTCAGATGTGAGAGTGGCCTTCTAACCAGCGGGGCATGTGGGTGCTTTGAAAACAGTAAGTGCTTTAAAAAAAACGGGGTGGGACGTGTTATGGCTGGAGCTTGGCAAGAACCAGAATTTGCGCACATCCTCAGACTGTGACCATTATGAAGAAATATTTGATGGTAAAGGAAGAAATCATCTGGTGACCAGAACAAAATGGATTAAGACCAAACCCTTGGGAGATTACACAATAAGTCTTTCAGCAGTCATCGCTTACTGTTTTTCTTAAAAGGCTAAACTTAAGATTAAAGGGTGAATACTTCTATTGATTACTTGAATGGTTAAATAAGGATTTCAAGGCTGGCCACCTCTGAGACCTGGATGGGAAGTAAGTGGAAGGCACTTGCTCCCTAGGGAGGAGGGCCAGGTAAGTCTCCAGGCTGTGGAGACAGCGCCAGCAGTAGCTCTTGATGGGCCCAAGTCTGCGAGGTGCTGGGAGGGGGGAGTGGCCTGTGTGGTTAGCCAGAGACAGGCTAGGGTCAGTGTGATTTCACAAGTAGAATGGTTACAAAATAAAATGTTTTTTTAATGGACCGAAAAAGCAAAGTGAGTCACCTTCGTTTTTAAAGGTGAGACTTAGCAAAGGAAGGATTTGAAGCAGTTTTTTACTATTTACAAAATGTCATTTAGAGTGGAGGTGGCCACCTTCAGTAGTTGAGGCAATGTCTTTCACATGAGATGGCCATAGAAGTGTGGTTCCTGGAGCTGGCTCACAAAGGCCACAGGCTGTCCTGGGTGAGGAAGAGTTCCTCTGAGGGAGCACCAAAAAGGCTCAGTCTTCTGTTTCTTCATATGTTGTCTCGTCAAAGGGCCTGTCCAGTAGAGGTACCAACCGATGGCGGGAATACTTCAGCTGCAAAAGGTCCCCAACTTCATCTATCTCCTTTAAAGCCTAAAATATGCAAGACAAAGTAGAGGTCTGTCAGAGCCAGTAGGATGCAGGCATGCCTGGTGTTTTACTTTGCTAAAAACAATCATGGCAAGATTATCCTTCAGCAGGACTTAGGTCTAGTGCATTTACACGATCAGACTACAATACAGCTGTGGAAGGACCTGCTTTCTGAACAAGGCTTTCAAGCTCACCATGAATAATGGGTTGTGAATAGCCAGGTATGCAGAATAAAGGCTATAATTCAAAGTATGATATGCTTGGTAGAAAAAGTTATATGCACTCTGAACACACAAAACCGACTAAAATTTGTCATCTCTCCCTTTTGTTTTTGAGATGGAGTCTCGCTCTGTTGCTCAGGCTGGAGTGCTGTGGCATCATCCAAGCTCACTGCAACCTCCACTTCCCACGTTCAAGTGATTCTCCTGCCTCAGCCTCCAAAGTAGCCAGGACTACAGGTGCCCACCACCATGCTCAGATAAATTTTGTATTTTTAGTAGAGATGGGGTTTCACCATGTTGACCCGGCCGGTCTCAAACTCCCAACCTCAAGTGATCCACCACCTTGGCCTCCCAAAGTGCTGAGATTACAGGTGTGAGCAAATGAGCCCAGCAACTTTTTTTTCTTTTTGAGACAGAGTCTTGCTCTATTACCTGGGCTGGAATACAGTGGCACCATCTCAGCTCACTGCAACCTCTGCCTCCTGCGTTCAAGAGATTCTCTGCCTCAGCCTCCTGAGTAGCTGGGACTATAGGCATGTGCTATCACGCCCAGCTAATTTTTGTAGAGACAGGGTTTTGCCTTGTTGGCCAGGCTAGACTCGAACTCCTGGCATCAAGTTACCCACCCACCTCTGCCTCCCAAGGTGTTAGGATTACAGGCGTAAGTCACTACACTGGGCGTCTTAAACCTCATTTTTTAAAAAAATCAGTATTTGGAGAGAGAAAACCACCAACAGTATTACTGATATATTCCAGCACAAGAAAAAATATTCTTCATTTCGAAATGTGAAAAATATAAAGCAAATAAGAACTGAACTTCAATGCGCTATCACAACAGCGGCACCACTGAGAAGAGGTGTAAGTGAAAGCTCCATATGGAAACAATTTAAGTCTGAAATTAAGCTGGGAAAACCCACTGACCATTTATTCACCTGACCTCTGTGATAAGATTTATTAATTTAAGACAAAAGTCAAAGCTGGCCGGGCCTAGTGGCTTATGTCAGTACCCAGCACTTTGGGAGGCCCATGTGGGCGGATCACCTGAGGTCGGGAGTTTGAGACCAGCCTGACCAACATGGAGAAACCCCGTCTCTACTAAAAATACAAAATTAGCTGGGTGTGGTGGCGCATGCCTGTAATCCCAGCTACTCAGGAGGCTGAGGCAGGAGAATCGCTTGAACTCAGGAGGCGGAGGTTGCAGTGAGCCGAGATCATGCCATTGCACTCCAGCCTGGGCAACAAGAGCAAAACTCTGTAAAAAAAAAAAAAAAAAAAAAAAGTCAAGGCTGAACACACTGACTCAAGCCTGTAATCACAGCACTTTGGGAGGCCAAGGCAGGCAGATCGCTTGAGCCCAGGAGTTTGAGACTAGCCTGGGCAACATAGCAAGACCCCATCTATTAAAAAAAAAAAAAGCCAGGCATAGTCCCAGCTACTCTGGAGGCTGAGGTGGGAAGATACCTTGAGGCCGGGAGGTGGAGGCTGCAGTGAGCCAAGATCATTATCACTGTACTCCAGTCTGGGTGACTGAGCGAGACCCTACCTCAAAATCATAATAAGACAAAAGTGCACATGACTAAGATCACAAAGGAATGGGCATTTATAAACTCTGACTTCAGAAGAATCTAGAATTTTTTCATCAATGTAGAAAAGTAATCATTAGAAAAAAAAATTCCTCAGTAGCCCAAGGGGATCTAGATTACAAGATTTCCTCTGATCCCACACCAAATATTTCAGACAAATCAGTATCATGTGAATAAAAGATGCCATTCTAGTAAGTGCTGACTCTTGTGTGGGGTGTGTGGGTATGTTAGGGACAGGGAGCCTGTACATGCATCACCATTCATTAACAAATAATCTACACAGAACCTCTAGATCACAGGTAAGGTGGGTTCCTAGGAGAAAAACATGTATTCATTATAGAGCTGAGTAACCCAATCCTCTAGGATAGCCATCCTGCCGCTCCCCTGAGCCAATATCCTTGCACTTCCCATTTTAAAAAATAACAAAATTACAGCTTTGAGATATAATTTACATTCAACAAAATTCATTTTTTTTTTTTTTTTTTTTGAGACGGAGTCTCGCTCTGCCGCGCAGGCTGGAGTGCAGTGGCCGGATCTCAGCTCACTGCAAGCTCCGCCTCCTGGGTTCACGCCATTCTCCTGCCTCAGCCTCCCGAGTACCTGGGACTACAGGCGCCCGCCACTGCGCCCGGCTAGTTTTTTGTATTTTTTAGTAGAGACGGGGTTTCACCGTGTTAGCCAGGATGGTCTCGATCTCCTGACCTCGTGATCCGCCCGTCTCGGCCTCCCAAAGTGCTGGGATTACAGGCTTGAGCCACCGCGCCCGGCCCAAAATTCACTTTTAAAGTATACGATTCATTGCTTCTAAGTATATTCCGAGAGTTGTGCAACTTTTGTCACTATCTAGTTTTAGAGTATTTTTATCACCCTAAAAAGCAACCCCATACTCACTCCTCCCTCCTCTCAGGCTGGCTGCCACCAATCTATTGTCTGACCCTATGGATTTGCCTGTTCTGGACATCTCTCATAAATGGAATCATAAGTTACGTGGTCTTTGTTTTGGCTTCTTTCATTTGGCCTAATGTTTTCAAGGTTTATCCATGCTATAAGGTCAAAGCTTCCTTCTTCTGCATCCAGCTGACCTAGTACTGTTTGTTGAAGAGACTGTTCTTTTCTCATTGACTGGTCTTGGCTCCCTTGTTGAAAATAAAGGGAGATGGCCATAGATGCTTGTACTTTATTTCTGAAATCTCAATTCTACTTCACTGGTCTATATGTCCATCCTTATGCTAGTACTCGACTGTTGTAATTACTGTAGCTTTGTAGTAATTAGCTTTGTTTTAAAATTAAGAAGTGTGAGACCTCCCACTTTGGTTTCCCTTTTCAATACTATTTTAGCTATTCCCTCCCAGTTCCATATGAATTTGAGGATCAGCCTTTTAATTTCTGCAAAAAAGGGCCAGTGGCTTAGGGTCTCCCAGTCCATTTTTTTCTGAGAAATGCTGAACACTGGATCTGCAGGTTGCTATACTGCCATCTTAACAATATTAAATCTTCCAATCCATGAACACAGGATGTCATTCCATTTCTTTAAGTCTTCTTTAATTTCTTTCAGCAAAGTTTTATAGTTTTCAATATACACATCTAAACATACAGTGTGCAAGTGTAAATTAGCCAGTGGACAAGAGAAGGGCTTTCTTTTTCTTTTTTGAGACAGAGTCTCGCACTGTTGCCCGGGCTATAGTGCAATGGCACAATCTTGGCTCACTGCAACCTCCGCCTCCCAGGTTCAAGCGGTTCTTCTGCCTCAGCCTCCCGAGTAGCTGGAATTACAGGCGCCCGCCACCACGCCCGGCTAATTTTTTGTATTTTTAGTAGAGATGAGGTTTCACTACGTTGGCCAGGCTGAACTCAAATGCCTGACCTCCCAAAGTGCTGGGATCACAGGCGTGAGCCACAGCACCCAGCCCGGAAAGGCTTTCTTGATTAAGTTTATTACTAGGTATTTTATTCTTTTGAGTGTTACTGTAAAAGAAATTTTCATTTCTTCATTGCTGGTGCACAAAATCACTAATTTTTTGTGTGCTGATCTTTTACCATGCAACTTTGCTGAATTCATTTATTAGCTCTAGCTGTGCGTGCGTGTGTGTGTGCGCGTGCGTGTGTATTTTATAGCACTTTCTATATACAGAATCATGTCATGGGGCCCATTATTAAATGAAAATTAATTTGTATTTCATAATGGTCTAGTTCATGTTAGTTCCATGAAACATCATAAGACAAAATAACTTTAACAAATCCATGGTTTCAAAAAATGCACTTTATGCTTTAAAAACTAAATGGGAGGCAAAGCCCAACAATCCCTCAAGTGAATCTTACGAAAAGGATTAGAACTCTCAGTTGGCAAACATATTTGTTGGCAACAGAAATCTCCTTAGATATCCTAAGGAGATATCCTGGTTCCATCTAAATTCCTTCATGAATGTGTACAGTTCTCAGGAGTCAAAGTTGTTGTCAGAAGGCATGGATTACTGCCATAGACGCTGCTCATAGTTACATGAACTTTTTTTTTAAAGGCATGTTAAAACTCTGAGTTAACAGGTGAACATGAGAAAGAAAAAAGAAAACTCTTAAAACATCAATAGAGTAGGAGGGAAAGAAAAGCTGAAACCTCTAGGTTAAAAAAAAAAAAAAGCAGAAATTCACCAGTAACATTTCTGAGAAATGAGAAAAATCTATTGGAAAAATCTGACAGGCATAATCAAAATAAAGAAAAAAAGAAACGATATCAAAAAGCCAAATCTAATTGGATATTGTCAGAATGTGATTAAGAATAGGCTCACAACACTGTGCCTATAGTTAACAATACTGTATTCTACATGGAAAAATTTGACAAGAGGATAGATCTCATGTTAAGTGTTCTTAGCACAATTCTGTTTTTTAAAAGGGAATACACTCATAGTCGTAGAAATTTTGCTGTGTAGAAATAGAGAAAAAGTCAAAAGTCTTCGGCTATTCAGGAATATAAAATGTCCATCAAACTGTTATAATGAACTTTTATAAAGAAGCATTCATAATGTTCTTTATTAGTAGCTCTTGACAGGCGGTGGCTCACGCCTGCAATCCCAGCACTTTGGGAGGCCGAGGCAGGCTGATCACCTGCGGTCGGGAGTTCGAGACCAGCCTGACCAACACAGAGAAACCCTGTCTGTACTAAAAATACAAAACTAGCTGGGTGTGGTGGCACATGCCTGTAATCCCAGCTACTCGGGAGGCTGAGGCAGGAGAATTGCTTGAACCCAGGAGGTGGAGGATGTAGTGAGCTGAAATCGCACCATTGTACTCCAGCCTGGGCAACAAGAGTGAAACTTTGTCTCAAAAAAGAAAAAAAAGAAAAAAAAAAGAAAAAAAAAAGTAGTAGTTTTCTAACTCATTAATAGATATTTCTAGCAACCAATTTTATGCAAATGTCATGTTCTAAAACTTTGTAAACTCCCAGAGGGCAATACTGATTTAAACTCTGCAATCTTAGATTTGAAACAATAACATATTAAGAGAATATATAGCGATGAGAATATATTGAGATCATAAATAATTAAGCTCACTAATAATGATCCCCAACTAGATGCCTGGCAGTGTGGTGGGTGCTGGGATATAGAATGAGTAAAACAGATTTGTTCCTATCCTCAATATTTATCTAATGGAGAAGACTGCTATTAAGTCATTATAGGTGTGAAGAATTTAGTCAGGGAGACTCAGGATTCCAAGGGAACACAGAGCAAGAAGTGTAGGGCATCCCTGAGCAATTTTCCTTTACGTGGAGATTGAAGAATGAGTGGCAGTCAGCCAGGCAGAGGGGAGAGAAAGCTCAAGAGAGAAAATTTTAGACAGAACAACATACGAGAAAGCTTCGTGTAGAAATAGGTAGAGTGGAAAGAGAACTGTGGAGTCCACAGTGGGGGAGACAGTGGAGCAAGACACAGCCGGAAAATTCTCCAGAGCTCTGATGATTCCGGTGACAGTGTTTTTGTAAATGCCAACGTTTTCAGTAGCACTGTCACCTCCTTTGTCTTACTAGTAAATATCTTAGGTGCTCACAAGAACATCAAGGTCAATATATTATGAATTTCATCTAATATACAGGCCCTTTTAATAAAAGGCATATTTCTATCAAGGTGAAAGTGCCTACTTACAGTATCAAGTATTTCTTTGGTGTGAGCTGCTGACAGGCAAAACCTGGCTCTGGACTCAATAATCGGGGTGGCAGGAAATCCAACCACAACGACACCGATGTTCCGCTTCAGCATCTCCCGTCCAAAGGCGCTGCAAAGGGGAAAACGAGAAACAGAAGCCAGGAGGAGTAAGAAAGCACTCATTGCAGACGACTTGCTGTCCCCAATGATTTCAACTTTTTGGTGATGCAGGCATTGGAGACTTCTAATAAGAGCTTCTTTTAACTTCTTTTAAAGTTAAAATGGATAGCTCACAAATACGTTTAAAGTCAATCCTGAGGCAGTCTTCTCCTATATGGTGTCCTTCACAAAACTGAAATAACCAGCCTGGGCAACATGGCGAAATCCCGTCTCTACCAAAAATACAAAAATTAGCTGAGTGCGGTGGCATGCACCTGTAGTCCCAGCTACTCAGGAGGCTGAGGCATGAGAATCTCTTGAAGCCAGGAGGCGGAAGCTGTAGTGAGCCATGATCACACCACTGAGCCTGAGCGATAGCCTGAGCAACAGAGCAAGATTTGTCTCAAAAAAAAAAAGTATCCTTGATATATATAATAGTGGTTCAGAGGCTTCAAAATGAACCTGTATTTAATTAAAATCTGGTCCTTGAAATGTTAAGCTTGGCAGTTTAACATGAGTCCTCAAATTCTGAGGATTCTGCAGCTGTGGGGGATCTGCTATAACATGGCACATCTTTTCTTCTAGCAGAATGGCTGACTGGCATGAGCTCTCCAGATCACGCACTTCTTTGATTGTCTTGGGAATAACACTGCTTCAGAATTCAGGGCTTCCTTTGGTGTCTGTAAGGCCAGTTCACCTGCTGGCTTCAACCGATTACTCAGACCACACAATTCGTGTTTCACAATCCCCCACCCCTACCAGAAGCCAAACTGGAGGCCTGTGGCCTTACTCCACATCTGTGTCTTGTCTAAATAACACATTCTAACTTTTATTTAATTTTGTCTACTAAATTATTTTATTATTTTTTTTTTAGTCTCTCACTGTCGCCAGGCTGGAGTGCAATGGTGCGATCTTGGCTCACCACAACCTCCACCTCCCGGGTTCTAGCAATTCTCCTGCCTCAGCTTCCCGAGTAGCTGGGATTACAGGTATGCGCCACCACACCCAGATAATTTTTGTATTTTTAGTAGAGACGGGGTTTCACCATGTTGGCCAAGATGCTCTTGATCTCCTGACCTTGTGAGCCACTGCACCAGACCCAAATTACGTTGTTCTTTGTCTTTTCCTCTTGTTGACCTCCCTTATGTTTTAACTTCTCCTTTAAGCTATTTACAGCATTTGTTTGAGAACTAAAAAATCTGGCCGGGCCAGTGGCTCGTACCTGTAATCCCAGCATTTTGGGAGGCCGAGCTGGGCAGATCACCTGAGGTCAGGAGTTGGAGACTGGCCTGGCCAACATGGTGAAACTCCATCTCCACTAAAAAATACAAAGATTAGCCAGGTGTGGTGGCACACATCTGTAACCCAGCTACTGGGGAGGCTGAAGCACAAGATTTGCTTGAACCCAGGAGGTGGAGGTTACAGGAAGCCGAGATCGCGCCATTGCACTCCAGCCTGGGCAATATAGATCCTGCACATTTGGCATTACATTAATGCCAGCCTTTTCAGCCTTTTCCCACTCTCTGTAGTACCGGTACATCTTCCTCAACATACCTCCGTTGTGTCAGCATGAACCTGGGTGCCCTGTAACTTCAGCACAGGCTCCCAAACTGTCTAGTGCCTTATTCTAATTCTTCTTCACCTTCTCTAAATCTTTCCTAATTAAAGTATACACAGTCAGTTGCACCTATATAGAATAAAGGAGACACAGCCTTCTTTAAAGAGAGAGCTCTAGACTGAGTCCTTTGGATCTGATAACTCTTCGTGTTTGTTTATGAGAATTCCACTTAAAGAAGAATGAAGAAAATCCTTCCCCATATCCCCTCTGAAGCCATAATACTAACTACCCATATGACTTCATGTTGAAACCCGAATTCCTCTTTTTCTCTCAGGGAGGACCTTTTCCTTACTTCCCTTTCATTTTCTTTGAATCACATTACTTCCAGGCTCCCTGATTTAATTTCCTCCCCCTTTTCATTTCAGTAAACACTTACTGAGTGTTGGAGACTGTGGTGGACACGGGGGATTAAAAAATTTTTAAAAATTGCTCCTTCAATGAGTTCAAACTGGAGAAATGCTTTAAGATCCAGCTCAAAACTCACCCATCCAACGAGATGTGCCTCTCTTACTGAGCCTGTACTCAGCAGGTCACTCCTTTATTCTGCATCTGCAGGGCCACTTTGCATATAATAAAATTTGTTCAGTATAATTACTGTTCATTTGCTTTTCAAATGTCTTCTGGTTTCATTATATATCTGGACTTCTCAAATACATTGAAAGCTATCGTAGGGCAAGACTTTCCATTATGTATGCCTCGTACAAACCAAAGAAGCTGGTGTAATCTGCACACCTGGCAAGTATCCAGTAACAAACACACTCTGATAAAATCTCTCTGACCTCATGGCCCATTGCTCCCCCTGGGACACTGTGCTGCAATTCTAGGGACCTCTCTGCTACTCTTAGGTCACCTAAGCAAGCGCGCTCCTGCACTGTGGCCTTTGCACAGATGCTTCTTTCTCCAATGGTTAACTGTCAGCTCCTTCAAATCATTTTTCCTTCCCATGGAGGCTTACTTACCCTGACCACGCTATTTAATAGTGTTATCTGCCCGCCCACAGGGCACTCTCAACTCCCCATATAGGTCCTGCTCTATTTTTTTCCATAGCACTTGACACCTTCTAACATAGTACACAGTTCATTTATTACGTCTGTCTGACTGTTGCCCCTACTAGACTGTAAGCTCCACAAGGACAGAGATGTTTGTATTTTATTCACTGATCTATCCCAGGCCCCTAGAGAGTACATGAAACTCAAATGTTTAATGAAAGAACAACAAATTAACATACCTAACAATTTGGAATTCACTATTTGATCTATGGCATATGTACCAAATGAAGGTTAACACAATAAGGACAAGACCGTTTTCCCTAACGAAATACATAAGCCCTAGTCTCACATCACAGATAAGTATAAGGACAGACTAGTCTGTGATCTGCAACAAAACATACCCAATTTTGGCAGGCATGTAGAGCATCAAAGGCACTACTGGAGAGTCTTCATTTCCATAGATGATGAAGCCCATCTCCTTCAGGCGTCTCCTGAAATACCTGGTGTTTTCAGCTAACTGCTGTACACACTCTTTACCTGCAAAGTCGTGGTGAGAGAAAACAAAATAATATTAAGTAAAAAGGAATGGAAAAAAAGACAGCAATCTCCTCTATCTCCATTCTACCTAATCAGTTCTGTTTCGTTTTTTCCCATTTCACCATAAAATATTTTACACAGTAAACTGAAAGGACTATAAATGTAAAATGTCTCATTTTGTATTCTGTCATTCTACCTGTTAACAGCAGAAGTTATAATAATGTAAAAAACGTTTAATGGAGCGTTAGCATCCTCAAAGAATTTCAGCCATACCCCCTCACTGAGCACTCCACAAATCCCTTGACAGTAGGCAGGGTATTTATGATTATCTTCATATGATAGGTCAGGAGACTCTCACCAAGGTGGTGACATGCCTACAGTTGCACAACAGTAGGTGCCACATTACAAGTAGCAAGTGGCACAGCTTCAACTAGAATTTACGTCTTCTAACTTTAAGATTCATTCCAATCAACTGTGATGCAAATAAATTTTACACGTGAGACCAGAGATGAAGCAATTTAGTCCCTCAAATTTTCATCTTCTGAGTTTCATTTTGTTGTTTCCTTACAATTTTTTTTTTTTTTTTGAGACGGCATCTCGCTCTGTTGCCCAGGCTGGAGTGCAACGACACGATCTCAGCTCACTGCAATCTCTGCTTCCCGGCTTCAAGCAATTCTCCTGTCTCAGCTTCCTGAATAGCTGGGGTTACAGGCGCACACCACCACTTCCAGCTAATTTTTGTATTTTTAGTAGAGACAGGGTTACGCCATGTTGGCCAGGCTGGTCTCGAACGCTTAACCTCAAGTGATCCGCCCACCTTGGCCTCCCAAAGTGCTGGGATTACAGACGTGAGCCACTGCACCCTGCCTGTTTCCTTAAAACTCTAATCAGACAGCAGTAGCATATTTGTAACAGTATAAAGTCGTATCTTTAATCCTATTGTGCTCATCTTCCCTAAAACACAAATGGATTAAAACGCACATTTCTGTAACTGCGAACTGACTAAATAATTGGGCAGGTTTTGACATTATGGTAAATTGATCTTTGAAAAGATATCCAAATAATTGTTCTGTTATACAGAGCAATGCAATAAATTTAAAAGATCCACTTGTAAAAGGCTAAGAACTATTTTAGAATCTTCTCAACCATAAATACTCATGAATAAAAAAGGCTGCAGTAATTTTCATATATAGATTATAAAATCAGCAATTTTTTTTTCTTTTTTCTTTTTTTTGAGATGGAGTCTTGCTCTGTCGCCCAGGCTGGAGTGCAGTGGCGCAATCTTGGCTCACTGCAAGCTCCGCCTCCCAGGTTCACGCCATTCTCCTGCCTCAGCCTCCCAAGTAGCTGGGACTACAGGCGCCCACCACCTCGCCCGGCTAATTTTTTGTATTTTTAGTAGAGACGGGGCTTTACCGTGTTAGCCAGGATGGTCTCGATCTCCTGACCTTGTGATCTGCCCACCTCGGCCTCCCAAAGTGCTAGGATTACAGGCGTGAGCCACCATGCCCAGCCAAAGTTCTTATTTTTAAAAATCCAAACATGATACATAAGTTCTTATGACAAATTAGCCAGACATACAGATAGCTAACAAATGTCCTTAGAATTGGAATACTAACATATCCATCATTCATGGGAAGCTACTCTAGATAAGTTGGCCACAAATAAGTCAAAATTAATACTCTTTATGCAGATAATTTCAAGTTGATCAGAGAAAAACACTCAAGCTTAGATTAGCCTCGTGTGAACACTGAAGAGCATCATTTATGTCATCATTTAAGTTACAAAGAAGAAAGCAGATATTAAAGTGTGTTATATTTAAGTATGTTGGGAACTGATGAGCCAAGTACCCTAATTTCCCCCTAGAAATATCAATACCTACTTAATCTACATTTAGAAGATGAGACTTCTTTCAGTCATGGAGTACTAGAGACTGGATTTACCTTCCTGCTGTAAACAATAGGAAACTGGACAAAGTACATAAACAATGACTTTTAGACACTGAGCCACGGGGAGTGCCAGACTGCGTTGCCTGAAGGCAGGCCACAGGCTGCTGCACAGGGAAGGAGGGCCCAGTCTTGCCAGCTGAGGACATCTGAGATTGGAGTGGAGAGCTGTCCGTTGAGATCAGAGCTGGGGAGGCTGCGGGGGCTAGAATTTGCTGGGCAGTGTACAGGAGCAGGGAGCGGGGGTGTGATGAGAGCACTTTAGGGATCTGCAGAGGGGTCCCTTTGAACTTTGGGAAGAGTACTGATTTGTATACACACGAAGGGAAGCTAGCAGAGGCTGGGGAAAAGATCCATCAGAAAGCAATAGGCCAAACAATCCTGCACTCACATGGAGCTGGGAATAGTTTGTATTTTTATCCACCAAAATGTAAAGATCTTATAATATGTGGGTTATCTAACAGAGTCCTCAGAAGGGGACTCCACTCCTATCACCTTAGTAGTGGAGACAAATTAACCCTAGACTAAAAATTGGTCTGAACCCACCCTAACCTTAAAAGCAAGCCTTGCAAGGATCCTGTTGATTCCAGGAACAAAGTCCAACATTACCTAAAGGAAAACAACAAGATATAGAACCTACCAATGTAAAATTAACAATGTCCAACATATAATTTTAAAATTCTAGGCATTCAAAGAAACAGGAAAATATGATGTACAACCAGCGGAAAAGTCAGTTAATAAAAACTGACCAGAAATAACAGAGTGTTAGCAGATACGGATGTTAAAGGCCATTATAAATATGATCTATATGTTCAAAAAGGTAGAAGAAACATGAGGAGAGAAATATATAAAAAGGAACAAATGATTACTAAGGCAATAATGCTGATGAATCTCAAAACTTATATAACGTTCATTGAAATAACCCAGACATGAGACTGCATACTGTATGAATTTGTTTGTATGAAACTCTAAAAAGACATACTATAATGACAGAAAACAGATTCATGGTTGCCAGAAAGTATGGGAAGGGGGCTAATAGCAAAGGGGCAGGAGGGAACTTTCAGGAGAGGCGATGAAAATATTCTAACTTTGATTGTGGCATGGTTATAAGATTGGATACATGGGGCTGGGCGTGGTGGCTCACGCCTGTAATCCCAGCACTTTGGGAGGCCGAGGCAGGTGGATCATCTGAGCTCAGGACTTCGAGACCAGCCTGGCCAACGTGGCGAAACCCCATCTCTACTAAAAATACAAAAATTAGCCAGGCGTGGTGGCGGGCGCCTGTAATCCCAGCTACTAGGGAGGTTGAGGCAGGAGAATTGCTTGAACCTGGGAGGTGGAGGTTGCAGTAAGCTGAGATCGCCCCACTGCACTCCAGTCTGGGTGACAGAGGGAGACTCTGTCTCTAACATAACATAACATAACATAACATAACATAACATAACATAACATAACATAACATAACTAAAATAAAATATAAAAAGACTGGATATATGTCAAAACTCAGGGAATTTATTAGTTGAGTGTACATTAATTTTTTCTGCATCCAATTTACCATTTTACAACTCACCACCCTTTTTTTTTTTTCCTTTTCTTTTTTGAGACAGGGTCTTACCATGTCACCCAGGCTGGAGGGCAGTGGCACAATCTTGACTCACTGCAACCTCTGTCTCCCGGGCTCAAGGGATCCTTCTGCTTTATTCTCCCGAAGCTAAGACTACAGGTGTGTATCAACACGCCCGGCTAATTTTTTGTTTTATTTTTTGTAGAAATGAAATTTCACCATTGTTACCCAGGCTGGTCTGGATGTCCTGGGCTCAAGTGATCCACCTGCCTGACCTCCCAAAGTGCTGGGATTACAGGTGTGAGCCACCATGCCGCCCAGCCATCACCTTTTAAAAAAATCACAAACCTTTTAGCTATCTAATCACAAATTAACTAGCCTCTGTTAAAAAAAAAAAAAAAGTTTTTTCAAACTAAAAATGGAACTACCATACAATCCAGCAATCCCACTACTGCTGTTTATCCAAATAAAAGGAAATCAGTGTATCAAAAGGATATGTGCACAGCTGTATTTACTGCAACACTATTCACAATAGCCACGATACGGAATCAATCTAAGTATCAGCAGATGAATGGATAAAGAAAATGTGGCAGATACACACAATGGAATACTATCCAGCCATGAAAAGAATGAAATGCTGCCATTTGGCCGGGCGCGGTGGCTCAAGCCTGTAATCCCAGCACTTTGGGAGGCCGAGACGGGCGGATCACAAGGTCAGGAGATCGAGACCATCCTGGCTAACACGGTGGAACCCCGTCTCTACTAAAAAATACAAAAAATTAGCCAGGCGAGGTGGCAGGCGCCTGTAGTCCCAGCTACTCGGGAGGCTGAGGCAGGAGAATGGCGTGAACCCGGGAGGAGGAGCTTGCAGTGAGCCGAGATCTGGCCACTGCACTCCAGCCTGGGCGACAGAGCAAGACTCTGTCTCAAAAAAAAAAAAAAAAAAAAAAAGAAATGCTGCCATTTGCGCAACATGGATGGCACTGAAGGTCATGATGTTAAGTGAAATGAGCCAGGCACGGAAAGACACATGTCGCATGTTCTGACTCATGAGGGAGCTAAGAAAGTTGATCTCGCGGAGGTAGAGAGTAGAACAGTGGTTACCAGAGTCTGGGAAGGGTAGGGAAAGGAGGATTGAAGAGAGGTTGGTTAATGGGTACAAACATATAGTTAAAGAGGAGGAATAAATTATAGCATTTGATAGCACAGGATGACTACAGTTAACAGTAGTTTATCGTGTATTTCAAAATAGCTAGAAGAGCTGAAATGTTCTAAACACAAAGAAATAACAAATGTTTGAGGTGATGCATATCCTAAATACTAGATTTGATCAGAGTATTTGATACTGTATGCATGTATCAAAATATCATACGTACCCCATAAATATTATTATGTATCAATTTTTACAAAAAGGAAAGCCAGGCACAGTGGTGTGATTCTGGCTACTTGGGTGGCTGAGGCAGGAGGATCTCTGGAGTCAGCAGTTCGGT